CATTGTGTGTCAGATAGCTATGATAACACATCCTAACATTGCTTTGTCTTGAGTTTATTCTTTGAAACTTATAGGCACACAGATTAAACCTGTGTTGTTGATTTTGGAAAACACTACTGAGGCTGCCTTGCTTCCCTTCAGAAAATCTATATTTTAACCAACTTACATGACATTCTATGTTATATTGACTTTATCATATGAAAGTTTATGGTGCATTTCATCAATTAATAAATAAATGTGAAAATCGTAATTTTCAACACAAATAATAGTCTCGCTACCTTAAGATTTGAAAGGAAATAAACTAAAAACCAGTCTACAAAAAATAAAGATTTAAATGTATTTTACTATACATGTACTGGAGTAAGTTGCATTAGGTAATTAAAAAGATAAGGATCTTGTAATCTTGCATTTTTTTTTTTTTACAAGAGACGTAAATATGGTGGCCACTGGATAATGCCAGCAATAGCACTATTGACCATATATTTCTGTCTTTTCTGAGTAGTTTTTCATACAAGCAATAATAGCAGACATTTATGGGCCATGTAAAATGTTAAACAGTCATAATAATTATACATACATACATATATATATAAACTTGTTTGAACCAAGCAGCATATTTTGAGTTTAACAACATATATAGGTTAATACAAATAAAAACCTAAATTGCCTGAAAATTAAACACATATCAAATTTGCTCTATACGAATATGTAAATTAAAGGTGCGTTTCTACGTAGATAATTGATTTTAACGATTCAGAATACACCAAATGCGAAATTGGGTTTATAGGCACTTGTAATAGAGCAAATACAATACTGAGAGTAGCTACTTTGCAATAACATAAACATAAATACAGTTGACTGTGACTTACTATGAAATTCAGTTGAGAAGGCAAATGCACTTACAACACAATTGCCTTGATATTTTAAGAAGTGTGATGACATGATATTTAATACGAGGAATGTTAAAACCAGCAGACATATAACAGGGGTAGATTTTATTTACAGTCATTACTCATATCATGTAGGTCCTATTTCGTCACTATTTTATATAAATAGTATACGTAATCAGCCATGAACTAAAAATGACCTTGTACTAGTTTCATCTTCCTGTATTTTCTTTGAGCAAAATGCTAATACATTATATAAAAACTATTAAATACACTATGAAATTTCAATTACTATGTATTTATACTATCCAGAATCACCATTTTGAAAAGAAATGTGTTTGTTGTTTTACATTTCACACTCAGCAGCAGCTTTGTTTTGAGAATAGAAGCGACCAAAACATTAAACAACCCGATTGTCCGTCGTTGTTAACCACCGACCCCTCAGTACAACAAAACGATACTCACCTTCTTTTAGTTCATTCCTTATTTCCTCTACATGGTGTATGAGGTCACCAAGGGTTCGCTGACTATGAGCACCGATCTGGTGAAATTTCGCAAATACTTTATCCACTTCGCGTTCAACACTAACGCACGCATCCATTTTGGAATATTTTGACCTGCTAAAGTTAGCCCCACAAGTTAGCTGTAATATACAATATGGCTAAAATTATCTAATATCATGTACAGCAAAAATATCACCTTCAAATGATACGATTCGTACATATACTACATTCCTTCTTAGGATATTTATGCGAGGAAAATTTTACTTATAAATCTCCTAACTAATAAAAACTAGTATTCATTTGACTGAGATAGGGGATCATAATGATTCACATTTGAGTCACTAGAGGGCGTCGTTACAAAACAAGGATATTTTGTGTCTTTACTAGACTCGTCACATCCGACAATGTACAACACACACTTACATAAGATAAGGTTCATGCCAGGTTCGGCTACGTATGTGCAGTCGGTCCGGCGAACCATTTATTTAACAAAACATACTAATAAAGCCGACTAAAAACGGCTGCCATTACATTGCATGTAGTGTTCAAATTGAAATAAACTATATGAGAGAAAAAATAACTTACATGAACTGCAAAAAAGATCGACTATTGATGCTCGAAATCAACATTTAATACTCGGTTAAAGAAACATTTAAAATAACTGACAAAAAACATCGACAAAATAGTAACCCCCGTTACTGGCACGCCGACCGCCCAGGAAAAACCAGGAATAAAAAACCCTTTGAGGAAAAAATACCTGGAAACCTGTACCCATCGTACTGTCGATCGTGCCCAGGGGAAAGTGGCGGGTGTCGCCCTGTATTATACAACAAACTTACAAAACAACAAGTTGAAAACTGCACTGTAGCGAGACTGGCCTAGATTGACATTCAACCTCTGTCCTCCACTTAAATACCCCTTGTCACATGACCCCACATACCATACCCGTCTGTTTGCCATCTCGCACAGACAATAGTTACCCGCTATACTGCGAAACGCGGTTAACAATATTTATACTCTCCCCACGGTAATCTTTTCTGGTAACCGTGATTGACTCTAAAGAAAACAGTCTCTCTACCAAAATAGCAAATCTTTGCACCTATATATATAATTCCTGTTTGTCCATATTTTTTATATTATAATGCACACGACTAGTTCGGCCCCACCTCAGCTAAATTATTTTCCATTAGTTATCTAATTTTTCATATATGTTTTATTATATTATTGTCGCATTTCGTAATTATTTTTTCTCCTAATATATGCTTTACATTGCAAACCGCAAAGAAGTACTAATTTCCTGTGCATCTCTGGTTGTAATCGGATGTCACGTTATGAATAGGACATGCATAAAGTCACTGACTTCACATTCGCCTAATATTACCATATCGCAATTTCAAATTTCAATGCATTGTGGGATAGTTTGTTCAGGTTGCATGAGCGGGCGCTATTCGGTCAAAACTATCCCACAATGCACTAATATTTAGATTAGCCATATGGTCTGTGTGCTTGCATCGTTCAACAGAAAAAAAACGTTCCTGGTCGCGTCACAAAACGTTGTAAAAAAACAAATAAACCAAGAATTGACTCAAAATGACTCATTTTCATACCTATTCCTGACTGTGGCGAAGTAACTGATTTGAATACCTATATTGTATTCCCTGATATTTTGAAATCGCTAAGACATTCAATTATCAATGTTGCCTTCACATAATTTGCCTGCCATTGTATTTTTTTTTTTACAAACACTATATTCTATATGCTATTCTCAAATTTACCATCTACTGCTTTCTAATTCTCGAGTTGAAGTTTTGATCGAGAACGACTCATTGGGACCGCCGCCAAATGAAGTGCGTTCGGACTAGGACATTCAAACTCGCAGTTATCGTTCAAAAGGTAATGATGGTGCGAAATATGTCTGGGTTTTTAAAGAAAATGCTTTGTCACAGAATAATAGTCTGTTAAAGGTGCCAAGTATGAAATAATTTGGGGACAAAAAAACAAACCTGCATAGAAATCGGAATAATAGGTCTTTTGATTATCGGAGACGCATTTCAATGGACTTGATTACGGACAATGCATAACTTAAATTTCACCAGGAAATTCCGCAGTGTGCTCTCGCAATCGCGTACTTAGTCATTTTTACCAGGTTCGCCATTTTTGATGTCACGTGATAATTATGTAAACAATGTCTGTCCAGTTTGTGCGAACTTGCACCTCTATATTTAGTCTTTTGATATATATAACCTAAATTACTGTTCTGAACGAGACAACAGACAGAGAATGTTTTATTTAAAAACGTCACAAAACCTTCTCGCTACCTTAAGAACAGGCTGACATTTTCAGTTTTCAAAATACAAATTGTTTTATAAAACAAATACGTTCTAAGGCAAATGACTTTCCAGCTGACCACTTAGAGCGCGTCTTACTAGAAAGTAGTCTGTAAAACGAGCTATGACTGGCCGATGATCCCAAAAGATGTGTAGTAATAGGTCGTTGGTCGGAATATTTATGCTGTTCAGAAGACCTATCTATGGTCTAGATAAGACTTTATTCAGTATCTTGGGCTCTGGACTTATGTAGAAATAATTGAATATGTACACAGCAACTGACGTAGTAGGTAAGATAAAAATACAAACATTGTCGTATTTACCGTATTGTAAGCACTTTCACGTTTCTGAAAAAAAACACACACACACAATGACGCAGGCTTATACATGTACCGTGGTCTTTTATGTAACGGCTTGATGACTGTTGTCATTAGACGAACAAAGTCGATACGATCTTGGTATATGGAAAAGTAAGTCGACAAATATTGTTTCCGCATTTCCGAATAAAAAGATCAGCATATCAAAAAGTGAAACTGGTTTTTATTACAGTCTATGGCCAGATGTAGTTACCGACGACCTTGAGCTGTACCTACATCAGATCGTAATAAGGTTGTGTTATTTTCATGTTTATCTTAACAGTTTTCAAATTACTGTTTTCTTGTAGGTTCAGGGTTCAAGATGTCTAATATTTGCTGCTCTCAGAATTCTTGTAATGTGTTTGACCACATACTATATCTGCATTTAGTTCAAGTCCAAGTGTAAAGCGTTATTATTTGATAACAAATTTGATCATTGTATCCACAAAAAGCTCTATGCTCCCCTGTTTCATGCAGCATGCTACTTTATTTCTCGAGCCACGAGGTTAATGAGCGCCATCACTCTACACACATTAAACAAGCGAAATCTAGTGTTGGCTTTTGAGGGCGTCCTTGACATTCTGGTCAAGGGAGCAATATCCACAGAAATATCCATTTATATGACACTTTCAACTAGTACAAGAACGTTGTTCGTCAAAAAATTCAAGTATTTCATTTCAATTTCTTGAAAGTATTTTGTAAACGGATAGATGACCATTAAAACCTTCGTCCAATTCAATAATTCGTGAAAATTCCAAGTTTGGTAAAAGATTTACATTTAAGTTGCGCGATCTAGCGACAAAACGCTTCTGTTACCTAATTATGGGTGTAAGCAAAGTATTTCAAATATACATTCCTTCTTGTTTACAGTTTCCGAAATACGTGTACTGCACAAGCGGGCCGGTAAGTTTAAGAAAATAATGGCCCTGAAAAAAATCGGAGTCACTGGTCTGGTGGGTCATACCACAAACCCCTTTTAGTGACGTTTTACAAATTTCTTGCTTAGTAAGTTTACATTGTGATTGATTATGATTGCTTTAATTGCAATCAAATTATTTAATTTAACATTTTTTATTGTCAATGAATGTAATTGTACCCAAGCATGACAACTACACTTATTGTACATTTGATTTCAAGTTCAACTATACAATCAACATCAATCCTTTTCAAAATCAAGATTTACACAAGCTTCATCAAGAGCAACAACATTCTCCTCCTTTGTCTCCCGTCTATATCAGAGTCAGATGACTCATTTCCATGGTAACCATGCACATGAATGCATATAATACCCTTAACTGCTGAAAATAAATCCGGCACTGGTTTCGGCACAATTGATAAATTGATATATGTTTAAAAATAAATCAATTCCTAAATATTTTTTTGGAAAACGTCAAATTTGGGACAAAAATGTTGAATATACAAGAAGTTTAAAACGTGTTGTTTATGTGTATAGATTGAACTGTGACACAAACACCACGACAGAAACACATCATCTTCTTAGATCGTCACGGTGGAATATTAAGTGTGACATCTGAGAGCCATGATTTGTTTTCATTGAACAAGAGACGGATTGAAACAAAGGAAAACAATACGAAAACAAAAGAAAACAAATATTGATATCTCAAATTATTATTACTTGTTATTACATTAGTATTCAGCTTTTGGTGTGGGAATGCTAAATCCAAAATATAAATAAATAAATAAATAAATAAATAAATAAATAAATAAATAAATAAATAAATAAATAAATAAATAAATAAATAAATAAATAAATAAATAAATAAATAAATAAATAAATAAATAAATAAAAATACAATGCTGAGTGATTCCGAAAATATTGCTGTGAATATTCATGAAAATTGACGAACATTGTAACATTCTAACTTATAGTTGTGATCGATAGTTAATACCACCGCATTTTTTTTCACAAGAAGATGCATTTCGTGTTTAAGGTAGTACGGTACTCGTGATTGTTTTTAACGTTTGCGTATATTTTAACGCAGTTACAATATTTCGTAACAAAATCTGACCAATTAAAAATGTAATTGTTTTAGTATTAGTACTAGTATATGGATTTTTTTGTTCACTATCAATCTGTTTTTTTTTTACGAAAATCAGTAAAATAGTATGCATAAAATGTAACCTTAGCAGCGGTTTCCATCACGTAGACACAATGAAAAAACATTTCCTCGTTGAAAACCTACTATAAATATTTTCATTTTTTAATACTTTATACATCAATAAATATAAAATAGCAGAACAATCGATTTTGTTTATTTAGCAGTCACGTGACGTAATTAATGTTGACATTAGCGTTATCATAATTTTTAGATAGAGTGTTGCAAGGGCTACAATAACATGTAAAAAATGTTCGTCATTAATCATTATTATTATTTTTATCAAGCTTTTTCTGTTTTGCCCAACG